ATATGGGAATGCTTGGTAGTGAGGTGGCCACTTCTCAGCCACTCATTCAATGGGTGAGTAAATAAGTGGGGACCATTTTTAAGTAGACACCTTAAATGTATGGATGAGAAGCGGCCACATCACTACCCAACACCAACTTTGCGTTTGATACCAAGCATATACTCACTATCTTATATGGTCAATGCTTAATCCTTGATGGAATTTATTTCTATGACAAGTACTTTTACTAATCTTTTATTCCCGTGCAATCACTGCAAAAATTACTTTTGCTGATCTTTTATTCCCCCGTGTAATCACTACATGTTGCATCTAACTTCATATGCACATGACATTTGTCACAAATACAAAGCAAGGTTTGAACCAGTGTTGTAACTCAACCTGAAAAGTAAAAAATTGCCCATAAAAGAGATCCACTAACATGATCGGGATAAAGATACACGGGACATGCTTCAATTTGCTTCAAGTAATATAAAAGTTGGAAGCTTAAACTTAATGCAGATCTGTGTTTTTTTAATTAACATGACAAAATAATAACTTTTCAAACTCATTACTACCTGACTGCGCATTCAGGAAGCTTGAAAAGCACATATCCTATGCCTTTAGATCGTTTTGTATCCTTGTCGACTACAAGGTGGACTTGTGAAACATCACCAAACTGGCTAAAGAGCTCGAGCAACTCATCTTCACTGGGTTAAACAGAAAATAATTTCAGTTAAAATTATTACAAAAAGCAATCATTTTCTTTTTGAAAAAAATTCAACTAAGTTGAAGTTATAAGGGAGTATTTTCATACTTTGCGGTGTACGGAAGATTGCGGATAAATAGACGACCGGTATCAAAATCATTCTTGTCATCTCTAGTAAGCGTCATAGGATTCTCATTAGGATTTTCGTTCTTGTCCTCCTCATCATGATTAATTCCTCCATGAGTCTGAGCTTCCTCCATTTTAGAAGGGTTAGCTTCAGATTCAAGCTCAGTGTCCTGGCTCTTTGTACCAGCAAGCCCCTCGTCATCAGTTTCAGAATCTGACCACTCCTTCTTAACCCGACTTTTAAAATAATCCATGTCAGAAATGTCATCATCACGAACAGTTTCATCTGCTTGTTTTATTAGATTAGTTTCAGAGCATCCTTTAAGTGCAGGACTTGATGAAGTTTCCTGAGGAAATTCATTTTCATTAATGCTTTGCTTTTTCTTACTCTTGGAAAGGCGTCCTTCCTCATTAGCTTTGCCACCTTTGTCAAGTTGAGCAGTCCTTAAAGTATCATCCGCCCAAATCTTTGATTTTGCACGTGGCTGCATAACTTGTAGAAACTCTTGAAGTTGAGGATCATTATTCTCACTGTTCTGGGAGTTTTTTGCCTCATTCTTGGAAAGAGGGAGGCCTTTTTGCAAGTTTTGAGATTTATCCCCAACCAAGTTTTTCTTGCTTTGATTTGAGGAGTTCTCTTCCTTGGCAGAATATCGACTCCATGGGCGAGGAATATTAGGATCACCAACTTTACGAGCAACCTGTAATAAGTAGAAATAATTTACAGCGTGCATTTCTTTCATAGACTCTGCTAAAAATGTTTCAATATGTAGATACACTTGTAAATTCTCCGGAATTTTGCTCTATGATAATGGAAGTACCAAAAGGTTTCAGTACATTTTGTTTTGAGAAAAAGTATGTTTGATCATGTAAGTAATTATAATACGAGTATGAAAATAAAACCCATTTAAATAAAAAATATTTAACTAATTCATCAACTAAAAATGGCGTTATACCGTAAAAAATAGCCTAGTGTCACGTGCTGTCTAGGTGACAAACATGTGAGGAGCAAACTCACCCAAACTCTCAGATTATTTCATCACAATCATCCAACCCTCCACGTGCCAAAAACATAACCGCCAATTCCTCCCAAAGAAAAGGAGACAACAATCTGCGAATGGCAGCTCTAATTAATTTGGATTCATCACATGAGTTTCAGACATCATCCGGACCGTACGCACCTCTATAAAAAAAACATGAACAGTGGTAATCTTCTTTAATCTAACTTTATTAAGGCTTCTTCTGCTTTTATTGTTCTGCTACTATTATGGAGAGATTCTGATTTAGGCATCAGAAGGCGTAACGAAACCCCCAACCCCGAGGATCATCCCAGCACCACCTAACGAGCTGATCAGAGTGCACGTTAGGGGAAGATGATGAATTCCAGCCATTAGCGGATTTCTTGGAGGCCCAATTGCCCTTATTCACTCCCTTTGATTGGAGGAGTAATCTGTGAGAAATTTACTGCGTTACAACAGATGGTAAACAATAAAGTAGACCATGGGGAAGAATATCCAAACTACCACAAGCAGAAATAGCTACAACAATAGTCCAAGTATTGATGAAACTCTGTCATTGCCACACTCAGCTCTCACCTTATTTAGATATGATCTCAACAAAATCACTTCCTTACATTTAATCTGTAATGCACAAAAACCAAAGCACATCGCACCGCCGAAATCCAGCATCTGAAGAGGGTCATTAAACTTGCATTAACAACTGAAAACTCACTGACCATGAGTTGTGCTCAACCCAAGGTATGTCCAGCATACCATCTCCAAGGATAGCCTTTATACTTCCAAAAGCACAAAGCATTGCACTCACCAGAATGCATTGGTATAAACTGGGACAAGCCAGAGTCCATACAGGACCATAGGCTGTTCTTCACTAGATGATGCTTAATGTAGTTGGCAATGTAGTAAGATTCAGGAAGAATTTTCCTAGGCATTTATTCTCCACTGGAGACCTAAACCTTTTTATGGCATCCTCTTCATGAGGTAAAAAGTCATATGTTTAACGAATGTGGCTTCATGAATGGAGAATAAAAATATAAGTGCCAACCAAACCTATATCACCATGTGCTACTGGTTTCAATAGAAACTGAACAAGTTGTCAAATTCTACGAAGAACACCCAACAATAGCTGCACATGTGGACTATGGACATTGTTAAGGAGGATTCCAGTTAAGACCAACAAATTTCAACTAAAGAGCACAAATCTTATTGGGCAAACATCAGGCCCTATTGCAAGAAAGTAAATGCTCATTTGAGGTAAAATGGGACCCTAACCACATTACCAGAGTTTTAGAAATTCGTAATACTGATAATTGGTCGAAATACAAGGTCAATATGGCAGCTAGCTAATGTATAAGGAAGCTGCGCTTCGTTTACTAACACTTCCCATGTGACTTTCTTCAACTTTTTGCATTACAAATATATAACAAGTATGATTAATAATTTCTGAACCAATGAGGGAATCTACAAGAATGTAGAAGAGCTACATTATATTTTGTTAGGTCTCACGTTTATGAGCCTATTGTCTAATCTTGTTTTGATGATTAACAAACAATTTCTAATCTTGTTTTCTAGTGGCTTGTGTTTTTTCCTCCAACATGTATCCATGTTAATATTTGGAAATTGCACACCAACGATGATATCAATAAGGTTGGAAGGATATTGGAGAGAAGCCGTCGCAATTCAAGTCAAAAATTCAAGATCGAGCTTCATGCATATCAAGCCTTGGTATAGTGTCTTAAGTTTAGTTTTATACTTTATGTGCTTATGCTTAAAGCTCAAAATCATACACATGCACATTGCTTCATTTTTGAGAAAATATCGTGTTTTCAGATTATAGACTAAACAATACTGTTTTATATATTTTCTAAGGTCTATCAATCCACTAAAAAGAATCTCAAAACTTATTTTAAAGAATTTCATAAAAATCAAGTTTTAACAAGTTCATATTTTGTGAATGTTTTGCAAAATGATGAGTTTTCATAAATGGGAAATGCTATTTTAGTAGTTTCTTCTCTAACGTGTTTATTATCACATATATAAATATTTCCCAAATCTTACTATTATTGGAATTGTTTTATTATTTTTAATTGAATTTAGAAAGTCAGCTTTTCTGGAAAAATTAGTATCTAGAATGTCAGTCATCAGTCGACCAAATTACATGTATCGGTCGACCGATAACAATGCATCAGTCGACCGATGTTCCTTCATCAGTCGACTTGCCAGTGCAAATTTTTCAGCGTCTATTTTCTCAGGCAATTCAGTTGACCGATCGGTTCAAGTCAGTCGATCGATGAGTTCAACCAGTCAACCGATTAAGTGCTAATTTTCCTGCACAGCCAACGACTAGTTCATCAGTCAACCGATGAACTCCATCAGTCGACCGATAGTACTGTTTCTGTGTAACGACTAATTTTGGCAGTTTTTCTTTGAGAGGTTATAAATACCCCTGAAGACTTATTTCTTGGGCTAAGTATTTTAAGGGTTTTTAACAAGAGTTTGCACCAGTTTGTTTCCACGTTTTGAGTGTTTGTTTATGTGAAGAAAGTTTCACAAAGAGAATGATCGTGAATTTGGTTTTGAGACGTTCAACCTCAAATCACTACATTTATATCTCTTTGTTTTTAGAAAAATTTTCTAAACTCAATTTCTAGCATTTATATATTTTGATTCTCTTTCATAAGCTAGAATTATTTGAGTTTAATTTCGTTTTTACTTATTGTTTCACGCATAACCATTTGAGCTTAAGTTTTTCACATATAGTATATTCGGGTTGTGGGTATGATTCATTGAGTGAGCTTAAATTTTGTTCTCATCTTTGTTAGAGAACAAATCATTTTATTTGCACTTATTGTGAAACACATTGTAATACACAATGACACTTAGAGGAGTGGTTGAGAGAGACCGGGGTTAATTCTAAGAGGAGTGGCTTGGTTGTAAAAGCCTAGGGAGAAGTAGTAATTCCAAGCACTTGAGGAAGGTGACACGGGTAGGCCAACACTTAAGAGTTAAGAGGAGTGTATTGTGGGATTGACAACATGTGGATTGTAAAAGTTTTCGGTGAGCTTTGAAAAACCGATTGTGTAGATTTTTTGTGATAGTGGAGTATCTTCTCGAGGTGAGGAGCGGAGACGTAGGTCGAGTGTTAGAACGAACTCCGTGATCATACTCTTGTGTTTGTGTTTGGCATTGGCGTATATTACTCTTATATTTTGTGCTCATTGTTTATATTGCATATTTGCTTCTTGTTTATCCTTGCACACATTATCATTGTATATCATATTGTTACGATAATTAGTTAATAAGTTTTAATTTGACATTAGTATCGGATTAGATTAGCAATTACCCTATTCACCCCTTCTCTAGGGTACTTTCAATATTAACTATTCCAAGAAAAAGAATGCAACTTTTATTTGTATAAGAGGAAGATAATTGATACGAGGGAAATTATGTGTACAAGTTATACAATTTGCCATGCAATTTAATCAGAATAACTGAACAGGTCAAATAAAGCAGAATAAAAAATTACCTTTATTCTATTACTCTCGCCTAACTCAAATGCGTGCATAATAGAATTATTATGCATAATCTAGAATTTCTTTTAAAATAAGAAATAAGAATATAATCTATTAGTTAACCTACTACACTCAAATATATAGAACCATTTTTAATAACCAAAAGAAATATTCTATTCCGCAGTCTAAATTACTAAGAGAACTTTTCTCGCCATAAAAAAATACTATAAATAATTTTTTTATAATACCTCACATGTAAGCCTGCAAGTATCCATATAAGAATTATTGTAGAACTTCAAAGCCTCTTCAGCCTCCTGCTCTGTCCGAAACCCTACGAAAGCAAATTGCCTGCTCTTCCCATCTCTAAACCAAACAAAACCATCAACTAAACTAAAAAATTACAATAACCATGGTTTCTTTATAAAACTTAGGGTTTTTTCCTGCAAAAAACTTTAGGGTCAATTTACATAAATCACCTTATATTTCCAATTAACGATCTGACCCCACTTCGCTACTAACATTTTCATGAAATTCCAACAATATCCTCACTTAATCTCACATGGAAAGCTTGCCGAGCATCAACAAAAGAGGTGGTTTACGTAAATTGACCCAAAATATAATGTGGTTTCTACGAAAAACCCTAAAACTTACTTTGTTCTCATGAGCTTGGCATCAGTAATCTCTCCTTTACGAGAGAAGAAATCTCTGATACGATCTTCATTGGCATACTTTGGGAGATTCTTCACGCAGATTCGAGACCTAACCATCGCCAAAAAAAAAGAACTGTAATTATAACAGATGAAAGAGTAGAAAGAACAAAAGATCACAAGTTGTGGTGGACAACTAACATATCTGAAAGCTTTTTAGGCGCTTTTCCGAAATTATGAAGTCCACGGCGACGGTGAGGATAAGCGGCGGCAGCGGCAGCAGCTGCTCTCCGGCGATGGGTTCGCGCGTTGGGTTCCTACTGAAGAGAGACCGAGTCCATTTTAGTTTGGCTTCCAAGGTGTTTGTTTTTGTAGTGTTTTTCAAAAAAAACATACTGGTGTTGTGTTTTTTCTCCTAAAGTGTTTGAAAACACCATTGTAAAAGTTTTCAAAACGGAAAAAGGATGAAGAATAGACATTAGACACAAACAAGAGATAAAATTCTAGAGTAAATATCAAATGTCTAACATATGGTTCTGGTGTCCACTGGAAAACCAAGATTAAGAGAACTATTGTACTACTACAACTTGACAAAAATGAACTTGTAATTGACACCTTGCACAGAGTGGATTTCTAATTTTATTTCAGATGTTTATTCATATTTGTAATAATTTCCATCACATCACATATGCCCTCGTGATGAAGGGTTTCAATTAGTGTAATCAATTATCACAAATGAGAAAGAAACTTAGATCCTTGCTTCTTCACAGAACAGGCAAAGCAAAATCCTCACCTGATCAAGGGTCCAAAGTAGATGAGGCTGGAGTTTTGCCTCAAAATTGGCTGCACCAACCTGCAAAATCCTCATTCCCTAAACAGATGGGTTCCATAGCAGGACAAGCATCGACGGCGACGGCGGTAGCACTAGGGGGACACGGCGACGGCGTGGTCACGAGACGCGGCGGCGATCTAACCTGGGTTCAGACTTGTCGACGACGAGGTGGCAGCGGCGATGGCGAGGCGGCACGGCGACGACGAGGCGACGAATCGAAGTGGCGGCGGGGACGACGTGTTGGTTTGGGGAGAAATTAAACGGGTGTTTTGAGAAAAGCGTGTATACTTTGAGATTTGTAAAGGGACAGCCCAAAAAAAGACCGCCCAAAAAAAAAGACAGCCCAAAAAAAGACAGCCCAAAAAAAAGACAGCCCAAAAAAAGACAGCCCAAAAAAACACCCCATTTCCCAAACATGTTTCATTGTTTTTTTTAAAAAAAGAAATAGAAACAGAAAAAACACACTGGTGTCCAAACACTCCCTGGAGTTTTCAGAAACGTCTTTGTGTGGGTCGGGTGCGGGTCGGGAGTTTAATGGGCCGGATGTTATTATTGGATTAAGGCTGAAGTTTTAATTTTTATTTGGGCTCCTCCTGTTCTTTAAATTCGTCGATTCGAAAGGCAGCGTTGGAGTTGGGTACGGCTAGGGGTGTCCAAAAAACCCGCCGGCCGGGCCGGCGCGGCCGCGGGCCGCTCAGCCCAGAAACCCGGGCCAAGTCCGAGCTCCGGCGGCCCGCCGCCGCTTCTTTGGTGCCGGCCGGCCCGGAATAGTGTTTTTTATTTTTTTTTATTTTTTTTTATTTTTTATATGTATTATATATGTATATATAAATATATATAATATGTATAATATATGTATATATAATATATTTTTATATATGTATAAATATGTATATATATAATATATGTATATATAATATATTTCTATATATGTATAATATGTGTGTATATATATACTCTCTCTTAGTATATAAGTATACTCTCTTTATATAAGTATAATGTATGTAGTGTAAATATTATATACTCTCTCTCTCTTAGTATATATGTATATATAAGTATACTCTCTCTTATATATGTATAATATATGTGTGTATATATATATACTCTCTCTCTATGTATACTCCCTCTTATATAAGTATACTCTCTCTTATATATGTATAATATGTGTGTGTGTGTGTGTACTCTCTCTCTTAGTATATATGTATATATAAGTATACTCTCTCTTATATATGTATACTCTCTCTTATATAAGTATATATAAGTATACACTCTCTTATATATGTGTGTATATATATATACTCTCACTCTCTTAGTATATATGTATATATAAGTATACTCTATCTTATATATATATACTCCCTCTTATATAAGTATACTCTCTCTTATATATGTATAATATGCGTGTGTGTGTATACTCTCTCTCTTAGTATATAAGTATATATAAGTATAATATATTACAACGGCTACTTCTTCCCCATTGGCCCAACGGGCAATGACTACTTATGTGATTCTCTCTCTCAAGTTATATAGGCTCAGAATGCGCCTTCTAGCGGCGACAAAAGTGGCGCCTGCGAATGCGACGATCTATTTGTGAACAATTCTCTACTAGTTTCGATTTCTAAATATAAAAACTTATGGTTGTTGAGAATATAGGTATAGTTTCCCCTACTTTGCGCTTATGCGACCTTAAGTAATCTTCTGTTTCTCCAAACATGAGAATTTCACTCCCCGTGACACTCTGACGCTAATTTTAAAACTTTATAACCCTCAATTTTGGTCATATTCAATGTTACGACCGAGGTAATTCAGTTTTAAATATATCATAATTTGATTCTGAAATTATAAATGGATGAATCTACTCATCTATACTTAGAGAAGGATCCAAATATTCACTACTAATATTACAGTGATGCTACAGTAATTTATTGTAGTTGCAAAAATAGAATACTGTGGTGTTCACAAAAAAACTGTAACATTTAAAAAAAGAATTATTGTTGCGGAAAAAAAATAGGCCCGTGCTTTGCACGGTGGGCACAGTAGTATATAAGTAAATTCAGAAGTAGCTGACTTATTAATCAATAAAACAACAGAAGAACGTCAGGCAAGCGTGCTGTCACCGCCACGGCCGGCATCTTCCACCCTGCCCGGCTTCCCAATAGCTAATTCCATGCCGTAGCAGCGCGTGTCCTGTCCAAAACTGGCTGATGCAAGGGTAGAACAGTACTTTCACAAGCTTACGGGTGTACGGCCGGAAAGCTGTGTTAACCCCACACCGTAGTGTTGTGTAGGATGGAGGGGATAAGAACTGCAGCTGCTCTTTGCCAGGTCAGGTCACACAAATTATTGAATAAGATGAAATATAAAAAGATATATAGATGAGTTGTTTAGGCGCTACTCAGTTTATTCTATGGCGACGAGCCAAAAAATTCCTTGGGTATGCTCAAACAGCTTAATTCATATATTTTAACTCTTGAAAACAGTGGAATATAGATAGAGCGAATTTGAATGAAAACAATTAAGGAAGTGAGAAAATGACTATGTAGGCAATCTTAAATCTTTACTATTGTCGTTTTCCAGAACGAATGTTGTATCATTATTTAGAAATTTTGTTTATATATATATCATATCATATCATACTTCTTTTTAAAAGTACGAGTTCAGGAAAATCTTTCTATGGTCAATATTACCTTTTACTATTTTAAATATTTTATTTATATCTTAATTTATCCTAATCATAATTATCTCATATCCTAATCCTACATGAACTATTATCTAGAGCTTAACAAATTTTTTAAAAAAATATATATATTAATAAAATATATAAAATAACTTTAGGGTATTGTAAAAAAACCTAAAAAGTTTTAAATTTGCAAAAAATACCTTGAAAAGTTTAAAATTATAAAAACTATCCCGACGTCTAAAAACTTAAAACAACAAACATAAAATCAAGAAATTAATAACAGTTTGTGAAGAATTTAAAATTTACGGTTAACATCTCTATATCTCAAAAAGTATAGAAACATCTTCAAAAGTTCAAATTACAAACAAGCACCTGAAATTCTAAAATTTAAAAACTTACAAACAACATAGATGAATTCAAATGATTACCAAAATGCACATGAAAATTACTGACATTTCAAAATTTAAAACAACAAACATGAAATTAAGAAATTAACAGCAACCTCCGAAGAACTACTAAGAACACACTAAAACTCCAATAACTGTTGGAATTGCAACAAAAAAGAAAAAGAAAAAAACTCCCGTAAGTGTTAAAAATATGTGTTTTGATGTACATACGGTTGCTTGCTGCCTGTGGACTAATGTTTCCGATGATGCGACTACTGTGTGCGTGTAGGGAGCTAGTTTAAAGGTTACGTTTTTTTTTTTTTTTAGTTTCTGTATAGTGAGCTATTTCTTTGTCCTTCGGGATTTAGCTTCTTATATGTAACAACCAATTTATGAGCAATGTAGGTTCTTTTTTTTGGCACAAAATGCAAAAACTTACTCGGTCTTTTTTTTTTGGGTGCAATTCCAATGGTTAGTGGGGTTTAGTGAGATTTTAGAAGTTTTCGGGGGTTTACAACAAGACGCTGAAAGTTACTTGACGTTTTGAGGCAGCGCGGAAGTGATAATCTTAGAATCCACCAAGGAGGTTCTCTGAATCCACAAAGAATGATCTTCGAATCCACGAAGAAAATATTGGAAAGAGAAATTTTATTGATGAAAAGATATGCCTCTAGGGCTTAACTCTACTTAAATAGAAAAGAAATCAGACTCCTACTATGACTCAAACTTTATCAAAAATAGAAATAACAAAACCCTAAAAAGACTCCTTAAGATTAGGGAAGTAATTCAGTCAAATTTGGGATCAAACCATATTCGTTTCCTAATCAAAACAGACTCCTAAAACATTACCAAAAATAGTAAAAACTGACAAAACCACTGATATCTCTCAAACCGGAGGGAATTTGGCTAAACGGACGGCGGCAAACCAAACTTCGGATAGGTTTGGTCGGCCCCGTCTCGAAAAAATACGCGCTTTTCATATATAATCTATCCAATTCCAACTTAATGTTTGAAAGTTATGACCCGTTGTTCTTCGCAGCAAGTTATTTTCCTCGACCGGGTCCGCGTTTGGGCATGCGATTGTCCCGCTTCGACATAAACATGTTGGTCGTGTGTTCTACGTCAACAGTATTTTATTTTGTATACATAATAACCTTTATGCAGCTACTTCGATCAACACCTGTAACTAGTTAACTAGCAACTTGTGCACGCTTCTACTGCCTCGTTAAGATTGCGGATGGCGATTTATGAATGGGCTGGAATCATACCCATGCACTCGTGGTCGCAAAGTTCAAATATTCTAGTTGAGCCTTTTTAGGCTACGTGTGTTGAGGATATTTCAGTGCTCAACAAACTTGGCACGCAAAAAAAATAATTTGTTACATACTCTATTTAGGGGATGAGGCCAGTTCATGAAGACTAAGCACCACCCGGTCCACCCCTACGACCCCTACGCTGGCAATAGCAAAAGATATATATAGGCGTAGAAAGCGCATGCTTCCTAAAAAAGGCAAAAACTGAGAGGAGAAGAAGAGGAACTTGAAATGCTCAATAAACTAGAGATGAACAAGTGGAGTACATGTGGAGGGGCGAGACAAAAACTTGATATGAAAGTTATGCCCATTGTCTATGACCGAAGGAGAAACCGACACATTTTTCTGTAGGGTGTATAGTTTGATTAACTCATGCTTGTGAACAGTGGCGGATCCAGATGATTTTCTTAGAGGGGGTTATTGGTCGGGACAAATCGGGGCCAAGTAGGAAAATTGTTCCAATGGAACAATTTTACTCCTTTGGGATATTTTGAGTGTGATAAAGTGGGATAATGGGATAATTTGAGCCTTTGATTTGACAATTCATGTGGGATAATTGATGATGTGGCACCTTATTAAAAAATAAATTTATCTATTAATTACTTCTAAATTAACTTATCCAATTCGTTTAGTATATTATTATAATATAAATATTATTTTACTTTATATTAAAATATAATATTTTGTACTACACTTACAAATTACTATTATTTAATTATTATATTGTATTATATTAGCATGCTATACTATATATAATAATTAATATAATATAATATCAATTATATGAATAATATATTTAATATAATACTTTAATAATATGTTATTTAATTTAATA